TGTGTCACAAGCCTTTATTTTGGCTTTCGGATTGAGGAAAATTTTCAAAGGTTTACAATAAACTGGAAAATCAAAAACCTTAGCAAAATAGCTGCAAGGGATCGTTGCTCTCTTTTGCACAGTTGCTATCTCATTCTGTAAGCTATTCTGGTTAATGTTAGATGATTGTAAAGACTGGAGATTTTATAAAGTAACCCCTGATAGCTCCTAAACAGAGAATTATAAGGTTTCTCTTGACTATGAATAGCAAGTTTTTTTTAAAGGAGACTTGAAAAGAAAGTTCTAAACAGTAATGCATTCTAAAGCAGAAAAATCACAACCAGGCAGTGACCCAAAAATTATGATTTTTTCCTAAGTGCACTTAGAGAACAAACAAAGGAGCATTCTGGTTGAGTTCTAAATTGGGTATATGCATCATCTGTGCAGATTTTATTGCATATATTCTTTATTTTCAACTTAATAACAAATTGTGGAGCAAATCTGTACGTTGCATAACACTTCTGCATTTCATTGCATGTGGATATTTTATCAATCTATTGCAGTATTTGTGCCTGAACATGGGAGCCTGGGTACCAGGTAGAGCTTTTTTGATACATTTGGAACTGTGGCAAAAGGCGACTCTGCAAGACTGTTATGCTTCATTAGCCTTGCCCTGACTAAGGGTAAATTCTCTCCCTTGATGACTACACTATAGTAAGATGGATCGCCTAATTCAACAAGTCAAACTTATCCTTGAATCAATTCTCTAAAGTAAAAACCAGGAATGAAGAAGTTTTATGATAATTTCAGTAAAAATTGTACCTTCCAGTGATTCTTTAGCATCACAAATCAAAATATTTAAGGAAAGTAGGACGCATTATACATAAAAATGAAGGCCCTAAGTGGTCTAAAAATATATATTATTCATCTGAGACTCCTAGGTTCTAGTCACTGTTAAATCAACAATTTGGACTTCATGTGACCATTTCAAACTGGCGGTAAATTGTAAATTTTTATTTAATAATTTTTAACTATTAGCACTATTAGCTATTAGCACAGCTAAACAAGCTGTGTTGTTTCCTTGTATCTTTTCATACTATATTTAAATTGCCTCATTTCTATCTCCCAGAATCTTAGAATTGCCAACTCTTTTAATTGTAGAATCATAGAATGAATCGTAGAATGGTTTGGGTTGGAAGGGACCATTAAAATCATCTAGTTCCAACCCCTTGCTATAGGCAGGGACATCTCCCTCTAGACCAGGCTGCTCTTCTGAAAAAAAATCACAAGAAAATAAAACATGCTCTAAAAGCAGTAAGAAAAGTGATGCTATCCTGGAGATAGTATGTGCTGTTTCCTGAGAGGTAGTTTTATTCTCCTAAATGAATGTTTTGAGATTTATGAGTCATTGCCCTTTATCACATGGTGCTTTGTTCTTTTGTCCTCGGGCATTTTCCTTTTTTTTTTCCCTTTCATTTTTTTTCCAGCTTCTGTGACAAAGATGGACAGAGATGGTGAAAGCACTGAAGAGATGTCTGGTTTGTTTTACACTCAGATGTAATTGCATAAATGCTAGAAAGTTCATAGCCTGACAGAATGTGCAGTGCCCTGTCCTTATTTCCACCCTTTGCTGTCCCCATCTTCCCTGCTTCTCCTCCCTTGGTTTGGGCCAGTACTGATTGCCATCTCAGCAGAACATTGTCGGACTTTTTTAGCTTCAAGATGTTTAACAATTAATTGTGTGTGTAGTATGCAACCAATACCCACCTGCTGTCAGGGGGCTTGGCCAGTTGACTCTATATCTAAAATGTCATAGCACAAACATTATGAGTTACAAAGATTGCTGATGGCAATGGAGGATAAAGGTAAATAAAGCCATTGCATTTTAGCTAGCATCATACATTGAAAAATCCAGAAGTTACTTCTATTGAAAACAAAGCTGTGGAGAGTATAAAATCAAGTCTTCCTTCAAAGGAACAAGTTAGATGCTCTCTAATCCTACAATATATATATTTTTGTAGGGCTTTATATGTATGAAAGATTCTCATTTTCCGTTAGTGTCTCTTTGCTACAAGGAAAATGAGAAATGAAATTAATTATCTATTGCTAGGACAGAGCTCTTGCTGGAAGGACAAACTGTCAAAGTGGCGACCTGTTATCTTTAGTGCCCTTAGGACAGCACAGCACAACCTGTGGTGATGGCAGCACCTTATGAAGCAATCCATTGCTTTGAAGCTGTTGATACTGATAGTTGGCATTGCTTTTACACAAGCATATTGCCAAAACACTTCCCAAGCAGTTTTTTCTAGCTTTATATGAAAATTTGTTTACATATTCTTCAGTGCTCTTTGGGAAAATTCAGAGTATAACTTAAATATGGACATTTTGGAAGAAACAATGTACTATAGCCTTAGCAAGAATCACCTCTGTATTTCTCTATAACTGCTTATTAGATAAATTCATGATACTTATTTAGTAATGGCAACAGTCTCTGTTGTTTTTCAATGCTGATGTAACGACATCCTTCAGTTCAGAGTTATTTTTACCAGTTGTTCCTCTATTTATAGCCCAAGGTTGCTCCCCATAGCAATCAGTGAGTAAGAGATAGTCTGAAGTCCTATACAAGCCCCGCATTTTGAAGATCTGTGATCAGCTGGTTTTAAGGAGCAATGTGGTATAGCAGTGAAAACTTGGTGAATCATTTTAAGTACTTGCGTTTTCCCCATCTTGGCTGCTTGCAGCTGTTTTGTCTAATTTTGTAGCTTTTATTTCAGTGAACTATGTCTCTGAGCAATTTTTCTTTGAACCTTGCTAAGTGCTCTGATGAGCAGGTGTGCCAGTGGCTCCTTTTATCAGATGCACCCAAGGTACTAGGCCCTGTTGGAGACAGCTCAGTCCCTCTAGCCTTCACATGTAGATTTACACGCTCTGAGCCTCTGTTTTTCCTGTGGAATGGATGGATGTCCAGCTTGGTGTGGCATGATGTTTTTTTCTCCCCCCCCAAAGACAGTTTTCCTGTATCTGCTTTGAAAATGTAGAAAGCAAGTGAAATAAAAAGCAATTAGACTGAAGACCTGCCTGTGTATTTCTACGCATTTAATCTTTACTTTTTCATTCACCCTAGCTGACCTTAGCCTTACACCATTTTTTCTGTCTTTGAAAACATTGTTGCTTGTCTAAATGAACTGGCCAACTATTCACACCTCCTCTCTTTAAAACATTGTCTTCAAAAGTACAATTATATCCTTTGATCCTGATACTTTAGTCTGGAGAAATATGCCCGAGAACAGTATACAAATCCATCTAGAGGTTATCCTTCCATTTAGGAGGAACTCTCCTCAAGACTGAATACCTTGCAAAAGTATTTCTTGGTGTTGTGTGATTTTTCTCTTGGCTTCCCCCACACAGTCTGATTTGCTTTGATGCTGTACGCTTGGCCAAGACTATCACACACATTACCAGGAAGATGTGGTATTTGCATGCCCTATAAGCAGAATGCAATTCCCTCAGGCAGTGCAGAAAGGCAAAGTCAGAAAGAATTAATCTTGTTTCTGTTTAAATTGTAAAGATAAATACATAAATAAAATAAGGAGATAGGGAGCATAGCAATTGTATTTCTTTCTCATAGTTCTAGACATATATTGCAAATATTGCATGTCCCATTCTTGTCCTTCCAGAGTCAACATGTCTAACTTGTTTCTTTGTTTGAGGAATGTGGATGAAAAATCAACATTTTAACTCTGAAATATCTAGTTTTGAAAATGCCAGTGCTTGAGAGGACAGCCAGAAAGAAAACATAATTTAAAATAGTTAGTGTAACGAGCCAGTCTTATCTCAGACCTTCATATATCAGACTCTTCTTCTTTCTTGTTTCATTAGAGGCAGTGGTCAAATCTTTGAGTGCCATGGAAATTACAGGTTAGCATGTATGGGGATATTCTTCCCTTTGAAATCTGAGTTTGATGTTTCCTTAGAGCCTCGTGTGTCTCAGACAAGAATTATTAATAGCCCTCACATGGGACACCCTCATAGGTGGCTGCTGTGAAAAAGCTACCCATGAGTGCTTCTGAACTGTGCTAATTAAACAAATCTGATGGCTATCTTGTCCCTGTTGTCATAGACAATTTCCAGACAGCAACATCTTACAGCTTGCCAAAAGAAGACTTTCAGAGGAGGAAAGAGTAAATGGAAATTTCAAAATCTGTCTAAAAGCTGTAAAAGCTCGTCTTGTCTCTGCTGCAATAAGGGGAATGTCAAGGGTTTACAATGATATGTTAAGTAGTGATAGATTAGTAACTTATATAGATAAATCTTATTTGAGTAAGGTATGACCCCCAGATGTTTCTTCCAGCCTGAATAATTCTATGGTTAAATGGACGTATGAGATATTATCTGTAAATGGTTGTAATGCTTCAAAATCTTGATCTGTCTGTTGTGGCTTGATTGTTAACATTTTCCTTAGAAGAATCTCTTCCATTTATTATTCTATAAATTATTTATATTCCCTTAGAAACTTCTCTTCCACATCTTTAGTTAAGCCATAGAAGGAGTCAAAAGCACAAGAATCCTGAATTCTATTCTCATCTGTCTCAAAGTTATGTCTTTTTGGCCTCTGCTTTTATGGAAATGGGCTGTTTTGTTCCTGCATGTCTGCCATTTGATAAAATAGGATGAAAAAAAAAATCAATTTCCCATATAAGAGTAGCAAGACAGTTAATTAAAATTTGTTTTGAAATTCTTGCGCAGAATATGTTATTTACTCTTTTGCCTCTTCTTGTACTTTCCATAATATTATCATTCTATCCTTAGGCCTAATTGGATATTTTAGCTCTCTTAATTACTGCTTTGATCTTGTTTTTAGAAGTTTTCATGAAGATGGAGCTCAATGAAGTAATTGGAAAGATTCCAGTTGATATCAGCTTTGCATGAACCCCAAGATGCCAAACAAAATGTGATAGTTGAGGATTTTTTAAGAAAAATACTTCAAATGTTTATTATCCCTCTTTATATGTGTTGTTTAGGTGATGACCTGAAAAAATCATGTCTGAGGTCCAGGGTACAGTCGAGTTTTCTGTGGAGCTACACAAATTCCATAATGTGGACCTCTTCCAGAGAGGGTGAGTTGATGTCTCTGTTAATTTGCAGCTGATTATAGAAGAGTTATTTTCAGAAAACAGTTACAAACCAAAAAAGATAAGTTTCTGCCAAATAGAGTTGTATTTCATGCCATCTCCAGAGAGATACATTACTTTCACTATAAACTCAGACTGACGGACTTATTTTTGTAATAAAGTATTGTAATGCTCCAAATTATTTTAAGCATCTGTTCAGACGTAAACACAATGGCCACTTTAAATGCTTCTGGATTGGTGTTGAGCCTCTGTGCTAAATGGTAACTGCTTTGAACTTTAATGAAAACACATTCACTGTAGAGTTGTAAATCTTACGACTATTCTTTTAATTACTCTAATGGATGTTAATTTAACCCCACCATTTCAGAGAGGAATGTGAATATTCCTGTTCACTTGAAGTTCTAGTTCTGATAGCCATATTGTATTTTCATGTCCCTTTAAGTTAGAAGAATACGTACAACTTCTGCTTTACTCAAAATTTTGCCCCCATTCTTTTGCACCACTTTTCCTAATAGCCTTTATACTTACCCAACAGCTGTTGAATGGAGAAGCCTAACCAGATGTGAATAATTGTTCTACTTGCATATTGGACCCCACATTTTTTCAGTGAGGAAAAATATACTAAAATACTTGACCAGATGGGTCAAAAGAATATACTTCATGGATAGCTGTGGGTCTTGTGGAGTATTATTTTCTTTCATCTAAGACAACTGAAGTGTACAGCACATTACATATACTCTTTAATGCCTTAGTTTTGCAAAGGAATGGTTAATAGCTGATTTGTCCATCTTGAGTTTCATTTCTGGTGATAAAAATATGGAGTTGGTTCAGGTATTGGGATGAGTTAGCTAAAACTGTTTCCATCTAGTTGTAGGCTTTTTTTGTTATTTGCTTTTAATGCGATGAATTATGTGTTAAAGATGCCATGAACTTGGATGAAGGAAGCACAGCTGTATTCTGTTTTAACAGCTGGCATCTGACATTCTGTTAATGCCTCCAAGTGAATATCTGTCACAGTTCCATTATAAAGCATTCTGACTATAACAAGTGCTTATGTTAAACAGAAAAAAAGTCCTCAGTGTTTGAGGTGTTTGGTTTATTTGCATTATAAGTGAAGATTTTTATGTACCTTGGTGTTCATGATCTTAGAAGACAGTCCTTGGCTGTAGATTCTTAATTTGATGGTCAGTGTAATAATGCACTTGATCCTCCTCACATTTGAAAATGTGCACCCATCTGTGGCCTCAGTGATTTGTTTGGACTTCAGTGGTAGGATGCTCAAAGCTTAGACATCTCACACTGCTGAGCTACCTTTTTTGTTGTTATCATATAGACCTGTATCTGTGAAATGCTTTCTTTGGCTTTGACAGTCAGATCAAATCTCTGGTGTGAGGGTAGGCCTAGCACTATCACAGATAATATATTCTGCTGTCACACTAATGAGTTCCTAATTACCCTTTCTTTTTTCTCCCACTGGTGCTTACCCTGCTTTACTGATTAATATTCCAAACATGTGCAGGGCTATAGGTTATATTGCAGTAATTTGTTTATTAATTTTTTTCTTTCTTTGTAACCTTTGCACAGTATTATATGTATTTGTTTTTCTTTCATAATTTTACTAATTACATTTCCAATAATATCCTTTACTGCATCTCACATTTGCTGATCATCATCATCTGCCTGGCTTCATCTACTCAGTAGCTCTTATCGCTGTAGTATGAGAATATGAAGAAAATGAGTAAATGATTTTGCCAAATTTCATTTTAACTTGGGTGCAATTATTTTTCCCGTACTACTGTTGTTGATATTCACAGTGGACATCTGGAATATCTTGGATTGACATATAGTCTCTTTGGATGAGAGGATGGTAGAAATAATGATAACAGGAATTTTCTATTTAACTAGTGTTTTTCTTCTCTGAGTACCTTGTAAATTGAGTCAATATCGTTCTGTCTCACTGAAGGTCAAAAAGGCGATTTGTGAAAGGTTGTCCATCAGGATAGCAGTGGACCAGAAATTAATCTTAATTTATCTGGAGGCACACTGCTGTGGTTTTTTAACAGCAAAAGCAAGAACAACAATGAAGAACATTATTAATGATTAAGCGAGTAAGTAAAAAATGAAAAATCAAAACCAAGGACATGATTACATTTCCTTAGAAATACATAGAAGCCTTGCTACAAAATCAATAGAAGTAGACTGGAGCTTCAGTCACCAAATTCTGTGGAACACCACTAGATTTGTGTGTCAAATTGACATTGGGCTGTATGGTTGAAATTCCTGAGTTGGTACAACATAGCTGCGCAGGAATGAAATTTCCAAAGCACTTAGTCTGGGCTATCTGTCCTTCTTGAGAATCTGGATTGTTTGACTGGATGTTGTCCCAGATTTCAAGTAGGGCAAGAAAATTTTCCTAGTAACTGCAGGTCTGTCAGTCTCACTTCAGTGCCTGGTAAAATTATGGAGATTATTCTGGGAGTTACTGAAAATCACCTGAAAGACAGTGTAGTCATTGGTCATAGTTTACGAGAGAAAATTCCTGTTGAATTAACTACATTTTCTTTTATGGTGAGGTTACCCATTTAGTTGCCCAAGGAAAGACAAAAGATATAATCTTTCGGATTTAAGCTAAGATTTCAATACTATATCTCACAATGTATTTCTGGACCTTAGAGAGGGATCTGGAAGTTCTGGCTGATGGCAAGTTGAATGTGAGTCAGCAGTGTTCTCTGGCAGCCGCAATCATCAAGTAAGCATTGAGGTGCACCAAGCCCAGCACTGCCACTGGGCAAGGGGAGGCATTGTCCCCTCTGTTCACTTCCAGTGCTGGGAGCAAAGCAACAAAGGGACATACAACTATTAAAGAGTGTCCAGAGGAGGTCTATGAAGTTGGTGAAGGGTCCAGAGGGCAAGGAATATGAAGAACAGCTGAGGCCCCTGGGTTTGCTCAGCCCAGAACAGAGGAGCTGAGGGGAAGCCTGATGGCGGCTGCAGCTCCTCGCAGGGGTTGGAGAGGCAGCGATGAGCTCTACTCTCTGGAGAGCATAGTTGAGCCAAGAGCAAGCCCGTGAGAGAAGAGTCCTCAGTGCAAATAATGGCATGAATAAATCATCAAGGTTTAGCTAGAGAACCCTGGAAGAATCAGTCCTTCTGGAGCTATTAGGTGTTGGTTAGTAATCAGACTGATTAAGAACATAGTCTGCTGGCCTAAAGCCACACAGCCAAAGTGCTTTAAAATGTTAGTCCTTCAGTAATGGTTCTGGTTCTATTTGTGGTTTCTCTGGAAGCTATTTTGAACTGTGTAAGTACACAGAGGCTGTTGCCATCTCTCCTTTCCCATGAGAAGTGGAGACTCCTTAACCTACATGAATTCTACATTGTGATATTTTAATCATTGCCTTACAGTCTAAAACTAATGTTTCTTAGCCTGTATAAATGGTTAATAGAGACTGATACAGAAAGCAGTCAGGGGCTTTTGCAAATGCTTTTATGATTTTATGTTTTGCATACGTAACAAAAAGAGTCATCAGAAAAATATATGTTACAAGTAGTTTGGTCAATTATTGCTGTTAAATTTATCTTTTTCTAAAGCACAAACGGAACAATGTCAGAATTTGCCGATATCAGAGTTTAAATGCTGTAAGCACTGACATACAAGAAGAACGAACCTTTTCTTTGGACAAGCCAAAGGATTTGCTGTGCAGTTTGAAAAATAGAGTAATAAGTAATGCAACTTCTGGAAGAAAAAGTATTTTTAAGTTTTCTGTCCTAATTCTCTCCATCACATTCCACTTAATAACTGGTGACAGATATTTTCTCAAGTGAAATTAGCTGACTGATTCTGATATTTCTTAATAGAGAAGGAAATAAAATTATCCATGACTTCCAGAAATCAATTAATTGATTTTTCTGGTTCTGTCAGAAGAAATTCTTCTGCATCACTTTTTCTTAAGGCATTTCAAAATATGTATGATGGATTACCTTACTTAATAACAAAACCAAACTAAAAGCAACAGAAAACACGCTAGTAAGTTCACAAGATAAGTAACTTTTGAAGTCTGGGAGGGAACAGAGGGAACAAAGAGAGTGATACTCTGTCTTCATAACTTTGGGATTCTGGCAATTATATGTTAAGAAACAAGGATTCGAGGTATGTCCTTACCAGCCACAGGGTGGAATCAAATGCTTATCAGTCCTTTCATTCCTCAAATTCAGTCTGTAATTTATAAATGTCTAACACTTACACTGGTGTTTGTGTTTAGAGAGTGATGATGATAAAAATCAGTGGAAAAAATATTCCAGCTTCTTCTAAACTGGATGCAGATTTGCCCAAGTGACCAGAGAAGTGGTCTCAGTGTTTCTGGTACCTTGCAAGAATCAAAGAACTCTTATGATCCAGACCTGTCAAAAATATGATGGTAAATCTTAGCAGACTAAGTCTTTACTTAATAAAACATCACTCTTGCCTATTGGATGGACACCAGTGTTTCATGTAGTCAGTCATGACATAGTCCACTTCAGTGGCACAGTGCAGTATCTGTTTCCTCAGCATGCAGGGTTTCTGCAATTAACCATGGCTTTTTCTGCCAGAATGGATACCTTGGAAATATAAATTATGATCAGAGATTTAGACCTCATTTCTTGAAGACTTGTAGGTACAGTGTCAGAATGTACAAGTAAATAAATAAAAAGTTTAGGACAGAAGCAAATCTTGTTACTTTATTTCCCACTGATACTCATTTCCTAAAACTTCTAACCTGTAATGAAATATAAATCACTTTAAGATTATAAATCTATTTCATTTTGAATGTACTTACTTAATTTATATAAGATGCATATAAGATGCATGGATTTTTTTTAAATGTAAATGAGATAAAAAGAAAATGAAGAGAGCTAACAGGCATGCCAGAATGATGTTTTCCTAGAATAATGATTGCTGTCCCTTGGAACAGATATATTGACAGAAATGACTTTTTTTCTTGTCA